GTGATACGTTAGCCAGGTGAATAAATCGGTGGCCTCAGCCCTCGCTCGCGTGGAAGTGCGAGAGCCGTGGGACCACGCAGGGTCACTGCAGTGCCTTGTAAACTGGCTCTTGGGTGTTCTTAGGGACATGTGACCCCAGGCTCCTTGCCGCCCATCAGCCGCCAGCCCCGGCACTGCCTGGTTCCAGTGCAGAGCGCTATTGTGCGAGAACAGGTGGAGTTCTTTACGGCTGGGATTCAATGTGAGTGTTTGGCTCAGGAAATAGTTGGGAATTGATGGGCGCCTATTAACATGCTTCCCTGCTTTCTCATGACCCCTCAGCCATCATCCACTGAGCTTAGTGCCCTGAGGCTCGGGGAGCAGAGGAGGAATGCTCGGCAAGAAACAGACTCGATGCATCCGTGACACGTGCACCGTCCTCCCACACCTCTCTGGATGTGTCCTTGTTCCTGCAGCCGTGCGCTCAACGTTTAAATCAACCTGCGTGTTCACCAACACAACAGAAGCAGAGTGTTGAGAGAGAACAACTGAGCAGTGAATTTTAGCCTATTAATCCAAAAGTTTTTATCACTTTCTACGTTGAATTTTCCTAAGGAATGTGTGTGCTCTTGTGCTTTTTTTTTTTTTTTTTTGAGGAAGATTAGCCTCGAGTTAACTACTGCCAATCTCCCTCTTTTTGCTGAGGAAGGCTGACCCTGAGCTAACATCCGTGCCCATCTTCCTCTACTTTATACATGGGATGCCTACCACAGCATGGCTTCTGCCAAGTGGTGCAGTGTCCGCACCCAGGATCCGAACCGGCGAACCCCGGGCCTCTGAGAAGCCGAATGTGCAAACTTAACAGCTGCGCCACCGGGCCGGCCCCTCTTGTGCTTTTTAATAAGCAGAAGTTGGCAAATTATTAAGATAAAATGTGTCGCTGTTTTGACATTTATGGTGTTTCTGCCCAGGATGTGGGACAGCTCCTCTCCCATCGGCTTCAGCTCTCTTCCCTTCAGCAAAATTGAGCTGGAGCTTTGCTTTGGTTTAGTTTCTCTTTTAAAAAATACTAAGAAAGAAAAGGGAGAGACCGCTCTGGGTAGAATGAGATCACGTGCCGGCTGGGAGAAGGGTGCTGCGTGACGTCTCGTGTGACAATGGTGTGATGATGCTGTGTGACGGTGACGCTTGGCAACACTGTGACGATGGTGTGATGACAGTGGGTGATGGGGCTGTGACCGCTGACAGCACAAAGTGGACGAGCCAGCCGCCCTCTCAGGCTGCCCTCAGCCCCGTCCCCAGCGCCGTGCCAGTGTTCCCATTGCCACGTCCTCTGGCCCCGCAGCCACACAGCAGTGCCTCCCCTGAGCAGCAGAGATGTGTTAGGAAATGGTCGTGCCAACAGCGTCCCCTCTGCTCACGGCCACACCCTGACACACCCCAAGGGCATGTTCCTCAGGGCCTTCGAGGAATCCTGTCCAAGGAGCAGCCTGGCCAGGCGGCTGGGCTCTGGTTGAGGAGCCGTGCCCCGTGGGTGGAGGAAGGGGCGTGCACAGCAGTGGCTGGGTGGGGGGAGCAGAGGGAACACAAGAGAGAGGAAGGGACAGAAGGGAGCACGTCCGCTAAGGGCCTCCTGCCCGTCCACCCTCAGCCACCACAGGGAGCTGGCCGTCACCTTGCTGCTGAAGCGCAGGGATGTCAACAGAGCTGCATGAATGTGAGTGACTCCTCAAACCAGGGCAGCGTGGGCTGCTAAGCAGGGGTGGGCAGGCTGGTGGCCACAGGGTGTCAGGGCTGGGGCTGTGGCTGGAGGGGAGCACAGAAAACTGACGGGCATTGCTGAGCCTGGCAGAGATGGCAGACGGAGGTGGGTCTGCGAGCCGAGCCAGCAAGGGAGCGACCAGCTGCCTCTGGGTTCACCGTGCAGGCTGCGTTTCGTGAGGGGTCCCTTCTTTTTTTTCCCCTCCCCAAAGGCCCCCAGTACATAGTTGTATATTCTAGTTGTAGGTCATTCTAGTTCTGCTATATGGGACGCTGCCTCAGCATGGCTTGATGAGCGGTGTTAGGTCTGTGCCCAGGATCTGAACCCACAAAACCCTAGGCTGCCAAAGCGGAGCATGGGAATTTAACCAGTCAGCCACAGGGCCGGCCCTGTGGGGTCCCTTCTGGCTTGGGCATCAGCCTCCTGAGAAGTTCCTGTGCAGGTTCCACAAACAGCCGGAAATCAGTCACGTGACTGGCTGTGAAGTTTGGGTTTTTTAGAGAAGAACAGTGTGACTGAACCACGATGGTCAGTTCTCTGGACCTCTGGCTGGTCCTGGAAGGCGGGCTTGCAGCAGCATCGTCAGAGCCGGGCCGGTAGAAGGATGCGCCCTCAGTGGGGGTGGGACAGGGCATCCTCATGAGAGCACCTCGAGTCACTGTCTTCTCGCTTCGTGTCGGGGCTTTGTGCCCAGGATCCAGACCCCGCACGCGTGAGATGGGGGCCCAGGAAGCCCGTGTCCCGAGGGGCTAATGGGAGGACTCTCCTGTTGGTCTTTCTAGGAGCCCACGAAGGCGTGGCTCCTAGAAAGGTCCATGAAGGTGTTTTTTTCTTCTAAAGATGTTTAACAGCAGAAGAAGATTTATCTTTCCGGCCATGGCTCAGATAGCTTCCTGCTGCCGGACTGAGTGCCGTGAGGGCAGGGTCCTGTCCCTCGCTGGCCAGTGCGGGCGGGCGGGAAGGGAGGAGCGCGAGCGCTGGTCCTGGACGCGCTGGCGAGGCCGTGGAGCTGCGTCAGATGGGCCTCCTGCTGGCGCGCTTCGAGCTTTCATTCCTGAGCAGTATTTCCTCCACAGAAAGATTTGATTTTAAAACAAGTAAATGAAATTACTGGTCGTCTTGGACTATTAATAACGATCTGTTAAACTATGTCCTTTCTCTTCAAGTATAAATTGAAGATGATTCCAATTAAAAAGGAAAACAAGACTTTTCATGGAATTTAGCAAGATGACCCAGTGATTAATATGCAAGAGAAGTGTGAAAATAGCTGAGACGGTTTTTAAAAGAATTGTCAACAAGAAGGGTTTCCCTATATAAAGTCATATTGATTAAAAGCCTACAGGAATAGATAAAAGATCTGCAGAAAAGAAGAGAGAGTCTCAAAAAGACCCATGTAATTTGGAGAATTTTGTGCTATAGGAACTCTGTGGAAAGAGGATGAATGTTTAATAAATGGTATGGGTCGATCGACCGCTAGGAGCATCGATCAGCGTAGGCCCCTGCTTCACACTAATTCCGATGGATTAAAGGCTACAGTAGACTCTCCCTCCAAGATGAAGACCCTTTCGTGATCTGGGCTGGGAGATGACACCAGCAGCCGTGAGGGGAAATCGGTACATTTGGTTGCATGAAAATTAAAACTTCCTCATGACAAAAGACACCATAGACAAAGTGAGAAGGCCACTGAGGAGTGTGTGCCACGTCTGTGCAGACACAGGATGATATCACAATTCACAGGGATACTCCAAGAATTCAGAAAGAGAAAGGCACAGAGCTACAAAAAGAAATAGGCTCTGCACACCAGCAGACAGGGAGATACAGATTCCGGTGACCACATGAGGGGATGGCCAGCTGCCTGGTGACGGGGGCATGCGAATTAAAGCAACCACGGACTTCTTCCCTCAGCCAGCGCCAGTTGAACAGACTGCCAGCAGGTTCACCCCATGCCCACACCACGTGCGTGCCCTGACGTAGTGCGGGAGCCGGGGCCTCGCATGCTGCCTGCCGCCACCCTCCTGGCTCTCCCTCAGGGGCGGTGTGGCCGAGGTGCCTCACAGAGCACACGGCAGGACCAGACGCCACCCCTGTGACGCTGAAGACGTGGAAGAGGAGACCACGCCTCTGTCGTTTCTTCTGTTTCTTCAGCTGATGAGTCAAGTGGAAAAGGCCGTGACAGGGCCAGGCTGGCCCACAGCCTGCATCTGCACTGGGGGGCGGACGACGGGACACTGGCTTTCTTGGTAGCCAGCTAGAAGGTTCTGAGTTAATCCGGTTAAGACGTTCTCCCTAGCCTTTGCCTCGTGACTTTTAGATTTTAAAAGTGCATCTCAGGATGTGGTCTGTTTGGACAGTGCCCGCAGCCCGCGCCCCTGCGCCCCCCACGCCCCTCACCCCCAGCGGCTCTGTCCCAGCAAGTGTGGTAGTGAAGCCACAGCTGGGCCAAGGACGGACCGTGGCCCCGCGTGCTCCTTTCCTCTGTGCATGACACGCTCTGCCCGCTGATGGTCTCGTCAGAAGTCGCTGGCACTTTGCTTCGCCCTCCACAGCCACGGGCACTGACGGCGCTGCGCCACGTGGTGGCGGGGGGAGGGCTGCGCTGTGAGCCCTTCTCAAGGCGTATTGTGATGGGGGAGGAAGTCTCTAGAAGGGGCCACCGACACCCTCACTGTCAGACGTGTTTTTCAGTTGAAAAATCTTTATGACACAGGTTGTGCTTGATTTAAAATATGTGGAAAAAATTTTTAAAAAGAAAAGACGCAGCTGCTGTTCCTTTGTAACGTTGCACGTCCTAGTGGGGACAGCACATTCACTTCCAGAACAGCTTCACGCTGCCTCCTTCTGCGAGGAGCCTCTGAGGCCAGGCGCAAGCTGTGTGGGCGCCTGGGCCGGGCTCCGGCCAGCAATGGCGCTGCTCCCCACGCAGTGCACACTGCCCGTCGGCCTCCCGCCGGGTCTCCTGAATCCTGGTTTTCCTGGGAAGCCGTTCCTGCTCCATGCAGCCTGGAGTTTTCCACCAGCTGTGGATTCAGTGCCGCCCTGGCCCCGCCGGGGAGGACGTGTTGGCAGCACACGCGTGCTGGTGTTGAGAGAGCCGCATGCTGTCTGGTGGCGTGTGCTGGCCGGGGCCACGGTGCTGAGTTTTGGGGTGCCGTCTGCCTTCAGTGGAGGCGACAGAAGGCGCTTGGCCGGGGAACAGCTGGTGGCCGCGTGTGGCAGGGTGGCCTCAGTGCGTCAGTAACCCATCTCCTTCTCTCCCCAGAATCATCGACCAGCGATTCGAGAAGGTGTCCTACTTCGTCTTCGGCGATTTCAACTTCCGACTGGACTCCAAGTCCGTGGTGGAGGTAGGCGCCCAGCTCGGCCCCCCCTGGCCTCTCGCGGGTTCGGCGTGTCGGGAGGAGCAGCCGGGGCAGCTGTGCTTTACAAGCAGGCCCAGGGTTGTTGCCCCTGGGGAATAGTTAAGGCAAAAACTCCCAGTAAAGAAAGACGTTTTACTGTCAAAATCGGGGCCACTGTCAGAATTAGAGGTCAATTCACACTTCCAGACTCACTCAGTGAGCTGTTACCAGCCAGACACATCATGTTCTGCCGTGACGGTTCTGTTGTCAGCTGTTAGAAAACAAAAAAGGAAGTAGCTTCCACACCTGCCAAGGGGAGATAGCCTGATGAGAAGGCCAGCTCCTAATCGACTCTGTTTCAGCTATTTTTCCCTCGTCGCATGTGTCTACAAACTAGTTTTTCTATTTCATTTAATAAGTTGTTGATGTCACTCAATCTTTGCGGACTTGGAGGCGTGTGTCCCCCGGATGCAGCCCCAGAGCCCCCAGGCTGATGCCCCGACTGAGTACCAAGTGCTGTGCGAGAGCTCTGCCCAGCGACCAGCCACAGGGGCGTCCAGGTCAAAGGCAGGCTCAGCGCGGCCCTGCCAACCCCAGCTGTGTGACCTTGGAGTGGCACCTCCTAGGCCAGGAAGCGGGCCTGCAGCCCACACACAGAGGCCAGCTTCTCCGTGGTGAGGTCTGCTGCAGGCGGCGCTGACCCGGCCCGAGGCTCTGGGACGGCGGGTTGAGGGCCCACACTGCTCCGGCCGTTCTCCTGCTCGTGGGACCAGGAACTGCAGCGGGATATCGGTTCTCAGGCGGCAGCACAGGAGACCCACCACCCTCCACCCGTGCCTGCACGGGCACATGCACGGGGCCATCACGGCTCTCATCCAGGCCCGGGTGGCGGGGGCAGGCGGCGCCGTACGCCGGGCAAGCCTCCCAAGGGCTCGCTGCAGCACTTGGCACAGCCTGGTCGCGCCCCTGTGGCGGCTGCTGTGGAAGCAGCAGTATGGAGAGGTGACACTCCTCCAGGTGTCATCTTCCTGTTGGTAGCCTTGGGTACAGACACCATCACGCATTAACTTTCCATCCTCAGTTGAAAGTTATTTCTTAAAGACAGACCGAGCAGGCTTTCGATCATGCCATATCTCCCTTTGACAGAAATGAGTAGCATTCTATTGAAATCTTCCTTTTTTATATATGATTTAATTAGGCTAATGGGACCTCACCAGGCAGGGCCTCACAGGTACATGTGTGTGAATGTTTAGACATGTTCCCTGTCTGCGAGGAGGGCACACCTCGCCTGACGTCGCGGGGGCAGCACTGGGCCGTGGGTGAGGGGGCTGCACCACACGAGTGTTTTCAGATAGACACGTGAATTCGCTGGGGACCATGAGGTCCCTCGTTTAGTTCTGCTGCGTTCTCTTTCATTTGGGGTTCTGCTATACAGTCAGGCGCCAGGGGCCAGGGTCCCGCAGGCTCTGTACCCTTCAGAGAAACAGGGAGCGGCACCTGGCTTGTTGACATCTGCCTGTGTCCACGCTGTTTGGGACATGGAGCCAGGCCACAGAGCCCAGGTGCCCTTGCCGAGGCTGCCTCCGTTCATTTGAGCCACACTGGGGCTTAAACAGTCGGATTTTCATGAGATCTGGAGACCCTGAGCACAGGTCGTTTCTGGCCGGTACTTGGGACGGTGAGTTGCTGTGCACGCAGCAGCTGCTCCACTCACCTGAGGGTCTCCTCCCGTCTCGACGGCAGGCGGAAGAGTCAAGAGCTCTCGAAAGACCAGAGTCGATCAGTCAGGATCCGCCCAGCAGACGGCATGTCAGGGAAAGGTCAGAAAAGTTTCAGAAGTGGCCTTTTCTTCCCTGAAAGAACAAATATCACAAAAAAGGGCACCTACTCCAACTCGTCACGTTGTGACTGGTGTGCGTTCTGAGTCGCCCCATGGGGTGCGGCACACAGGCGCGGTTCTGTGTTTCCTTGGTGGATGCTGAGCTGGGTGGCTGGCCGTGGAGGGCGTGAGGCTCAGTGGGGCCACGGGTCCCACAGGGGCTTCGAGCCGAGAGGGACTGCTCCTAGGGGCTCCTGGGTCACTGGGCAGTTAGGCTGACTCATCTGGGCAATCATGGGTTTTCTTACTGAGAGGGAAAGCAGGACGATGTGGACCTGAGTTTGAGTGTCGGTGTGACTGCAGGAGGCCATTGCTCTCCAGGAGGACGGCATTTGGGGGAGCTTTGGGAGAGATGCAGTGCATCAAAAAAGTATGCTGCAGGCTTTCATTTATGGCATAACTCGTCTCCTCCGCTCCCCAACCGTGTTTACCCAGTGCCCTTTCTCCTGATCCATCACCTCGAGGGTCCTTCCCGTTTCATAAAGAGAAGGGTTCCTGCCACACGGTGATTGCAGCAGGTGGGGCAGTGCTGGCTGGATCTCGATGGACTTTGACGCCGCCACCCATGGGCCCTGGACACAGTGAGGGAGGCACTGCCCACAGCTGGGCTGCTGGTCCTTCTGCATTTCAGGTCAGGGACCTGGGAGCGTTGCCTCCCAGAGTAGGAAGCTTGACAGTGCCCGGCCTCACCTGTCCTCGGATGTCAGCACTGACAGTAAAGGACCCACAGCCGCACGTCCTTGCCCCTGGGCGAAAGGGAGGCAGAGACCAAGGCCGGCAGAGGTGGGCACGCTGGAGTTGAGACAGGTGTGAGTGGCCCCCATGCCTCCATGCCCTGTTGGGGGAAGGAGGGACAGTCCCCCGAGGCCAGCACTTGGGCATATTTCCTTCAGTATGAGAGCTTAAGATCTTTCCAAACAGCCTGCACATGTGACTGAAATCAAACTGCAAAGGAGCAAATGGATTCTAATCATCTTGTGCCTAAGGGGCTGTTTTGTGAATTAGCAATGAGTTCTCCCAAAAGCAGGCACGTTTTTCTGAAAGTCACTAATGTGCTTCAAGAATCTCCAAGCTACCAATAGCCCGGAAACTTGCAGCATCAGTAAGTCTCAGTATTTGATGGGCTACCTAAGCTTTAGTAAGTTCTTCTAGCTTCCACTTCCTCTTCCTTCAGGAAAATAAAGGGCATCTTCATTCATGATTACTTTCATGTCAAAACTAACTGGCCCAGATAGGGAATTATTCGAAGTGCTGTTTTTAGTATATAATCCCCACGCATACTTGATTTTTAGATGAAGCAGAACAGTGCGCATAGGCCTGCCCCTCCTTGACCCCAGCAGGGTCCTGCCCCGGCCTCGCCACCCTCATCTTCCACCAGCCTCGCTGCCCCACAGCCCTGGTGTCCTGCCCTCCCAGGGGCATTTGGGGGCAGACCCAGTGCCGGCTGAGAGGACACAGAAAGGTCAGGGGCCGCGGGCACTTCTGAAGCTGATGAGGGGAGCAGGTGTGCCCCCACATTGCTGTCTGCTGTTCCCTCAGACGGGCGTCTGTGAAGTCAGGTGCAAAGCGTCAATTTTAAGTGCTAGTAAAAATCATAAATTTGTGCGTTTATGTGGTGCCTTCCCCCTGAGGAGGTCAATTAATGAACAGTATGTTATCAGTATACCCTAGATTAAGCATGTTTCTGTGCCTGCTTCTACATCCCTGCTGACAGCTTTGCTGGGAACCCCCGTGTTAGTGGTGTTGGGAGGCCCAGAGGGTCCATAGGCACTTGTGGGTCCTGGAAGCTCGAGAGCTGAGCCCATGGCGGGCCACCTGCCGCAGGGTAAGTAGGGAGTGGGGACACCTGGGCACATAAGTGGGGAGACCGAGGTCTCCCAGTGTGGATGGGTGGTGCAGGGTGGCCTCGGAAGGTCAGAGAAGGTTCTGGAAGAGGAGTGCTGCACTGCAGCCCCAGCAGCAGCTGCTCTTGTTTCTCAGCAGGAGTTTTTCCCAGTGGTGCCTGGTCGTCAGTGTCAGGCTTGGCAGTGCAGAGCTGTCCACGGCTGCTCTCGTCAGGGGCCCTGGCACAGCAGGGACACGCAGGCCTCCACGTCCACGTCAGCTCCAGGAGGAGCCTCGTCACTGGGGATGCAGGCTTTTCACTCACAGGCCCAGAGGCGTTCCCGGGGCTTCTGTTTAGTATGAGTCATCGGAATTTGACGGCGTATCTGAATGGACCTCAGTGCTGGCAGTGCACCCTCCCCCCACACCTGGGAAGCCACCCGACCTTGTGCTTCAGCCAGGCGGGTTCCAGGAGCTGTGAACCTCACCCCACAACTGCATCTTTCAGACGCCTGCTGTGCCAGCACCAGTCACTGGGGCGCTGCCCCTGACAGTGGCTGTTGGCGTGTGTTTAGATGCTGGTTCATGGTGCCAGCACACTTGAGAAACCGAGGGCTTCATTGTCGGGTATTGTCAATCTGGCACCTTCAAAGAGTGGGAGGAAAATCAATGCTGTTTAATTGAATTATTTCCTCAATAAATGAACAAATGTGTCTAAGACCCATATTAATGTTTGGAAGGTTTTCATGTCCACGTGACTCCCTAAAACCTATGGACAGATGGCTTTTCAGTTGACATATGACAGCTATAACTCCATTCCTGCACGCAGTTTACTATGTAAGTAAAGCAAACGTATGGGAAATTATTTTATTCCAAACATATGAAATATGATTTTCAGTATAGTTTTTTAGGACCATTTGGTCAAATGAAGACTTTAGCTCTGGAATTAAAGATTGTTTTCCCCTTGGTGGCATCATCAATGCAGTCATCACCAGATAATAAAAATTCCATGGAGCACAGGAAGCTGAGAGTGCAGCTCAGGGCGGTCATGGACACAGGAAGATGAGGGCTCCGGACTGTCGTGGACTGAGGAAGGTGAGAGTTCGGGATGGTCGGGGGCTCAGGAAGATGTGTGAGGGACGGTCATGGACTCAGAAAGATGAGAGCTTGGGATAGTTCGTGGACTCAGAAAGATGAGAGCTTGGGACAGTTCGTGGACTCAGAAAGATGAGCTCGGGACAGTCGTGAACTCAGAAAGATGAGAGCTTGGGATAGTCGTGGACTCAGAAAGATGAGAGCTTGG